ACCCGCGTCCCGGCGGGGCTGCGTTCCTGGGCTCGCTGGCCCGCCCGGCCTGGGGAATCCGCAGTAACTTTTCCAGGGCTGGTCCACGATCTCTCGGCTGGACGGTGATTGGAGCAGCCGCGCGGCCACCGCCCCTGGAGCCTAGGCAACCGACCGCGTCCCGCCCTAGCGACAGACTGCGGGCTGGGGGCTCCCGGGATCGGCCGTGCCACGGAGCTCAGGGGACTTCTGGGAAGTCGACAGAGGTCTCCCCCAGCTCCCCAAGTCCTGAACTCTTTAGAGCTCCGGAAGTAGGTCACTAATCTCACCTGACACTCCCGGAGGCCCCGCCCCACTAACTTTCCCCTCTTTCCCCTCCTCTACAATCTTACAATCTGGTTATCCCTCCCACCCCACCCACACGGCCCTGGGGTGAGAGGCCAGGGCAAACCCACTGCCACTTGCTCCCACCCCTCCCCCGTCTCAGGTGTGGGGGAGAGGGCACTTCACTGCCTTGGAGCCAGGCACCCCTTCTACCTCCGGAGGTTTCCAGGCCCACAGCGCATCCCAGCAACCCTACAGTTCCAGGAGTCCTGCCCCCTCACCTAGTACCTCTCAAATAGAACAGCTGCAGCTTCCATTTGGGAGGGGGAGGGGCCCACTGGAAACTGCTCCCTCCACCTTTTTTGGGTGCCCTACAGAGGAGTCTCATCATTAGGAAGGGAGGCAAAGGGAACCACTCAGCACTATAGTCCTGAAAAGCACCCCTCCCCCGAGCTGGTACCTGGTGGGTGGACAACATGTCTCCCAATCCGAGGAGGCCGGGAGAGGTCACAGAGTCACCTCAAGGTTTGGACAGAATCGAAGAGAAAACAGAGCGCATCGTGCTTTCCGCAGCAGGATTGTTAGGATTCCAGAACCCTTCAGCCTGTAAAGGAAAATCTCTCCCCCCACCCCTATTTCCTGAGGAGTTGGTACTGCTTTCCATCTTACTCCACACCTGGAGCTGGTTGCCAGCCAGAAATTCAGGGCCCTTTCCTGTACGTGGAACAGGAAGATTCCAGTTACTGCCAGGGAATGAATTTCTTAAGCAGAGAGGAGGCAGCTGATCGATGATTCTGCTCCCGGAACACTCTCACAACCCTCTTTCCCCACCAAAACTCCATTAAACCCAAGCGGCTAGGGACATCCCTTCATTCTTCCACACCCATCTCTCCAAATTTTTTTTTAAAGTTACACTGATTCTTTTAAATTTTGTTATATGAAAGCCATCCACAATTAATGTAGCAAATTTGGAAGTTACAGGAAAAAAAAAAACCAGAAGAGGAAAATTACAATTACTTTATTCCACCATCCAAAGATAACCACTATTAACACTTTGGAGTATAGCCTCAGTCTCTATCTGTTTCATGTATTGTATGCAAGTATATACTTATATTTTAAAAAACAAAATTGAGATCACATGATATACTGGTACACCATTTTTATTTTATTTATTTAAAAAATATATTTTATTGATTTTTTACAGAGAGGAAGGGAGAGAGATAGAGTTAGAAACATAGATGAGAGAGAAACATCGATCAGCCACCTCCTGCACATCTCCTACTGGGGATGTGCCCGCAACCAGGGTACATGCCCTTGACCGGAATCGAACCTGGGACCTTTCAGTCCGCAGGCCGACGCTCTATCCACTGAGCCAAACCGGTTTCGGCCACCATTTTTATAATCTTTTAATTTTTTTGTTAATCCTCACTGAGAGTCTTTTCTCCATTGATTTTTAGAGTGGAAGAGAGGAAGGGAGGGAGAGAGAGGAGAGAGATATGGATTGGTTGCCTCCTGCAACCTAGGTACATGCCCTTGACCAGGCATTGAAGCAGAGACCCATTGGTGCACTGGCTAATGCTCTAACTACTGAGCCACTGACCAGGGCTATAACCTTTTTTAATATTTAAAGAACATTTTTCTTTTCAAATATTCTTCACAACTTTTAAAAAATACATTTTTATTGATTGCAGAGAGCAAGGGGAGGGAGATAGAAACATCAATGATGAAAATTATCAACCAGCTGCCTTCTACACGCCCCCTACTGGGGTTCAAGCCCACAACCCTGGCATGTGCCTTTGACTGGAATCGAACCTGGGACCCTTCAGACCACAGGCTGAGGCTCTATCCACTGAGCCAAACCGGCTAGGGATCTTTTATGTGACTTTTAATGGCTGTGTAGTACTCCACCATCTGGATAGATATACAATAATTTATTTAAGCAACCCCCTATTGCAAATTTTCTTTACAGCAGAAACGAATTCCCAGACATTGCTTCTCTTTGCAATGCTGGAATGAACATCTTATAACTAAATATTTATTTTCTTAGGCTAAATTCCCAAACGTAGGATTACTAGGTCAAAGGCCATGGTAATATATTTGATACATAATACCAAACTTACATCCAGGAAGGCTGTACCAATTTGTACCCTATATGCAATGTATGTGAGTGTTATTTTGGTACTCCTTTGCTGACAACTGGGTCTTATTTTTTCTGTTATAGCTTGCTATGAGAAAAATGCTTTGTGGGGGGGGGCGGTGAAGGAGGTCAATGGGGGGGAAAAAGGACATCTGTAATACTTTCCACAATAAAGATAAATAAGAAAAAAAAATGATTACAGCTGTATTTGCCTCTCTTTAATTACTAATGAAGTACACATTTGTTGTCATGGTTTTATCCATTTGCATTTCTTTTATGAATTTCCTGTGTATGTCCTTTCACAGCTGGCTCTTGTTCCTTGAAGCTGCTTCTATGTAAATTACAAGGTGGGAGAGAGGTGGAAGGAGGAGGATGAAGCCACAGGACCCTTGAATATGGTCCCACATCTCTGAAGGAGGTGGAAAGTCCTTTCACAGCTGGCTCTTGTTCCTTGAAGCTGCTTATATGTAAATTACAAGGTGGGAGAGAGGTGGAAGGATTGAAGATGCCTGGAAGCTTGTCCTTGCTGGAGGCTGGCTGTCCTCCCTCTTCCTGGGGTGCTCCTGGCCTTTATGCCCCCCCTCTGCAAGGTGCCCAGACAGGTCCTGTGCTCTCCAGGCTTTGTCCTTCACTGGTCTTCGCCTGCCTCTGTGTTCCCAGGATGCTCCTCCTCATCTCTGCTCCATGATAGGTGAGGGTGGCAGAGCCACACACCCAGGCTGGAAGGAGACACTGTGGCCAGTGAAGCGAGGAGGGGAAGAAAGGATGGAAGCAATGTCCAGGGACAGAGTGATCTTTGTTGCGTGGACTCAGTCTACCCACCCCCTTCTACCACAGTCCCACACACATCCAGCTTAAGCTGTGAAGAGCTTCGTTCAATGGTCTACTCTCCCCTAAATCTTTGAGTTTCTCATAAATGGGTCATAGGACCCAGCGCCTCTTCCCCCCAAATAGAACAAACAGCTTCCTGCAGCCCCTGAAGGCAGCCACCTTCAGGCAGGGATTCTAGGCCAAGGCTCAACCACACCAGAGCCTGAGCCAAAGAGTGAGATTGGATCAGGAGCTGGGGATGGCAGGTTTACACTGCCTGATGCCCCAAAGGGGGGTTGAGTCCCAGAACTCAGCTCTGCTGGTTGCTGGAGGGGAGAATTTTTCTGCCTGCATAGGCCTGAGTTGAGTTTCACACACCATCCTGGAAAGCAAAGTGAGGAAGAAGAGCAGTGGTAGCCATCAGGGGCCGCAGTCTTATTACGGGTGGCAGAGGATGCCTGGGGCCACCCTTGCATGATGAGAAGTCAATGTAGAGACTGAGCCCCTTTAACCCTCCAACCCCCTATCCCTGGGGTTAGTGTCAGGGAGGGGGGAGGGGCAATAGCTTAAGTGAAAAGCTGTTCTGTTCCCACCCCAAGCTGAGTCTGCACAAACGGGCTTCCGATTCCCTCAGGCACACTCAGCTGGGTGATTTCTCCATACCACAGGTAGGTGGAGAAGCTGAGACCGGATGTCTAAGGGTGCCACATAGAGGTAAGTAACTCTGAATCTAGAGTCTGGGCCAGTCTAAGGAAATGCAGGGAAAGGTTAAGAGCAGAGGTATGACTACTGAGATGGCAGGAAGAGGCAAGCTTACTTCTGGACCTCACCTGGAAAGGCCAGTGGAAAGAATGAGGGATAAGGAGGGAGGGTCAAGAAAGACATCTGGGTAAAGGGATAGACAGGGTTTTCTTTGCTCTACTTCCTCCCACTGTCACACAAAGACTGACTAACTTTGGGCAGTCAGAGTCAGGGTCTCTCAAATTGTTCTCTCTTGCCGCGCCAATCAGGGTGAAGGCTCTCCGACTGAACAAGGTTCCCTTTCCTGAAACATACCATGATCACTCCTGCTGTTCAGACCTTCCCAGCCCCAGTTCTGTCACCTTCCAGATGAGCGGGAAAGCAGCTCCTTCTCCTCCTTGAAGCCAGCGGCAGAGGGCAACAGTTCTTCAACTGGCAGCTTTAGCTGGGTCAGGACATAAAGCTTGCCACTGAAGAACTACTGCGGCTCAGCCAGGTGAGGGTGTGGGAGGTACAGGCTCCTAAAGGCAAAGGGAAGAAAAACGGGAAAGACCTGAGCAGGGCCATGGCACAGGGACACTGTCCATCCAAGTCCAGTCCCAGCAGACACTCAACCTCCTAAGGAAGGATTCTTAGCCTGGGCCTGCGGGAGCTCAGTGAGAAGCAAGAGGCAGCTTTAAACGTATTTCCCTTGCTCCTCTTTCTAGAACTGCAGGAACCCAGGCTCTCATCCCCTTTACCCCAGCCACACATGGGGTGGGGGTGGGGGGCAGCCTACTCAGCATTGGGAAAAGGCAGGACCTGGGACCCTGGCTGGACACACCCTACCCTTTTCCAAGGTACTAGGTGAGAAGTTGTATCTCAGGTCCAGAAATGAGTTCAGTGATCAGCCCAACTGACTTCTTCCCGGAGAGTTCAGCTGGAAAAAGTTCTGGGGGGCCTGGGTCTGGGGAAGAGTGAGGAAGGGAGGAGGTCTAGAGTTTGGAAGGTCAGCAGAGGCTCCTGGGACTGTGAGGAGAGGACAAGGGACCAAAGGCTGAAGGGGAGGGAGATTAGGCAGGGAGGTTGGGCAGCCTCCCCTGGACTCTCAAATGCCAAGCATTCCGCTTGCGCATTCCGGGTACATCTGGTATGAATTCCAGGCTGTCTGCCGGCCCCTCCAAGTCTGAACTTTGTTCCAAGTTCCAAGCCCCGCCCCCACAGTTCCAACGCATGAATCAGCAGGAAAAGCCGGGCCCTGCAGCATGGCCCGGGGAGGGGGTTGGGGGCGTGGCAGGCTGGGGGGAGGGGGGGGCAGTGAGCTG